TTTCACGGGGCGGGTTCGGGACGCTTCGGAGCAGGACACCCCCACCCCACCCCACCCCACCAATCCGTCGGGGCGGGCCAGGGCGGTGCGGGTTTTTTTGCCATCTCTAATCAAAATTTACTAAAAAGCTAATTTTTAGCTATACTAAACAGAAACTAAATTTCACTTTAAAATGGGTATAAAATTGGAGAAATTATGAAAGTACATAAGAAGAATATGTATGCAAACTATACATGATTCATAGAAAAATATGTACTAAAACTATGCATTTCAAAGAAAATACATTATTTGAAATATATAAAAAGCTAAACTGAATCATTTTTTTTTTCTTCCCATGGTCTTCATCACACAAAGAGGGAAAATCATTTCCACTAGGCACGTATAATTGTTTGGTGATTTTACATTAGAGGGTTTTTGAAGTACAATTAGTGACTCCCCCGATATATTTTTTCCAAATATATGCGTGGAAGCGAAGTTTCAAACTTTACGAATTTAAGCGAGTTTAAACGATGTTTAGGCATAAAAAATGTTTTCTTATTTCTAATATGTATTTCAAATCTTTAATTATTTTAGAAATCATTTATAATAAAATTATACATACCAAACATCTAAAATTATAAAATACTATATTAATTCCTATAATTAATCAATTATACAAGTTTTCAAAATGCAAAAACTAGACTATTTTTAATAGTTTCAATTTTTAACTAGACAAGTTTTACTTAATAGATTTATAGAAATTTCATACATACATTTTCAACAAAATAACGAATCTCAATATCGTAATTACATAAATAGTACTGTGACTTAAATCTTATTTCACTTAACTTTTGTACGATAAACTCTTTTAAAATTTTGAAATTAAAGCCAAATGATTAAAAAAATTAATAAACTAAAGTCAAATAAATGACTTTAAGAAAAATGAAAAAAATTAAAAATGTATGTCAGGGAAGACGAAAGAAAGAAAGGAAAAGTTTCTGCTGTTTAGGAATTGAAAAAAAAAATTCTACGGGCGAAGCGGGACATTTTGCCCAAACATCAAGTCTAGATAGTGCCTAAACGAGGTTTTTAGAACACTGCTATTTAGAGATTTATTCAAACAAATTAGTGATAACAAAATGAGCCGATCTGCCCAGGGAGTTTACAAATTGGACCTATGCTAGTCAGCCCGACCCAAGATGAATTGGCCTATTCAAACGGATTGGTGTGGAATAGTGAACATGCACGTCGGGTTTGGCTATGAGAAAATTACACTAAACAAGGTAAGAACATGTATTTTTTTCTTCTTTTTTATTTTCCTTGAATTTCTTTCATTAAATAATTGTTGAATAATAAATATTTATGGGATGTTCGCCGAGACAAAGCCAACCATTTCTTCTACCATTGAATAAGACACTTACAAATACCATTGAATAAGGCACTTAAAATTAAATTACTTTTTGCCAAACATGAACTTCTATGGCGTGTTTCATTGCATTTATTTTTATAAAAAATGTCAATTTTTCACATGACAATCAAACACATTCTTAGCATGTGTTTGACACTCATTTTTGGGAAATTATAAATTTCAGAATAGTGATTGATGGAAGAATGTGTGGTTGAAAAGTAATGAAAAATTTTAGATTTGTATGTAATATTATTTTATTTGAAAAATGTGTGGTGATAATTAAGAAAGAGAAAATTTTTAAAAAGTTAATGGGTGCCAAACATTTTTTTAAAGTTATTTTTTAACTAACAATTAACTTAATTATTTTTAAGAAGTTACTTTTAACCATGATCAAACACAGTCAAAGTCTAGA